ATATAACAATATTATTTATTAATAATATTTGTATATAAATTATTAATGAAATGATATATATATATATATACACATACACACACACACACACACACTTGTGAAAAATAATGTAATTAATGTGATTTAACTTTCTTATATTATGCTAAAATAATAAAAACAGAAAACAGCAATCCTAATACTGTAGATTTTAGTCAAATTTAGAAACATCCAGTTTCAATCAAAGCAGGTCTTCCTCTTAGACACGGAGAGTTAAAACTGAGAGAAACTCGCAGAAGTATGGCGTGAAACGCTTCACATACCTACACAGCACACAGGCCGTCCGTAGTCCCAGCACTCAGTGGGCAGAGAGCAGGTATACTGTACAAACTGAGCGAATGAATAAAACAGTGTTAGCTGATCTGTCATCTGCTGATGTCTGCGTCGAAATGTCTTTATGCATGTTAAGTATCTCAATTTCCCTGTTTGTGCCAAGTCGCTTGTTTTTTTTCTAAGAATACGGCTTATCGTCTTGCAGCGTTTCATGGAAGTGTGGGAGAAAGATGTCACCTCACTTGTTTCTGAGGCTGGAGAGAATGTCATCAGATGAGAAAAACTCACATACTGCACAGGGATGAACTCGATAGGTGTGCTGTCGGTCGCTTCTAGCTGGTTTGAGAGAGAGACATATTTGGTTTGCAATCTGAATTATCACGATTAGTTCCTGATAAGCTCACCTTTGTTTGCTACCGTGTGAAATGTGTGTAGAATAATTGGTGCGTCACGTTTTAAGCAGTTAACGAGTTGCAAAAAGTTATGATATTAAGCAACACAGAGCTTTTAAACGTACTATTAATGATTGTGACCTAAGACCACTTTGGCTGAGATTCACAAACTACCTTTCACTGAGAAAAAAAAGGAAGAAAACTGAATAAATATATAACTCCAATCCATATGTCCATTAATTAGAAAACCTATACATATCTAATAGAAAGTGACATTATTAATCATCTGAAAATAAGATGGTGTAATATTCAAACTAGTGCTGGGCAATGATTAATCGCGATTAATCGCATCCAAAATAAAAGTTTTGATGTAGATAATAAATGTGTGTGTACTGTGTATATTTATTATGTATATATAAAGACACACACATACAGCATATATTTTGAAAATATTTACATGTATATATTTATTTAATTTATATTATATGTAATATATAAACAACATATTTTTCTTAAATATATACATGCATGTGTGTGTGTGTGTGTGTGTATTTATATATACATAATAAATATACACAGTAGTACACACACATATATATTATGTACACAAAAACGTTTATTTTGGATGCGATTAATCGCGATTAATCATTGCCCAGCACTAATTCAAATACGTAATTTACTTGGTAGGACTTTTTTTTAATGTTTTTAAATAAGTCTCGTATGCTCAAAAATACAATAAAAACAGAAATATTGTGAAAAAATATTTTGCAAATTACAAAACTTTTTTTCTGTTTGAATACATTTAATTTTTAAATTTATTTCTGAGATGCAAAGCTGAATTTTCAGCATCATTACTCCAGTCTTCAGTGATCCTTCAGAAATCATTCTAATATGCTGATTTGCTGCTCAAGAAACATTTCTTCTTATTATCAATGTTAAAAACAGTTGTGGTGCTTAATATTTTTATGGAAATTGTTTTTTTTTCAGGATTCTTTGATGAACAGAAAGTTCAAAAGAACAATGTATTTGAAATATAAATATTTTGTAACATTATAAATATCTTTATTGTCACTTATGATAAATTTGATGCATTCTTGCTGAATAAAAGTATGAATTTTCCAGAAAAAAAGGTCTGCAATGCAAAAATTGCAAGTTTGGCTGGTTAGAAAAGTAAAAGCGCACCACATTGTAACAAACCACATGTTTTGAGGCATCATTTATATCTGTAACACAAATAAGGTTGGATGAGCTGTTCACAGAATTGTAATATTCACAGGTAGGGGTTTGTTCAAGTCTCTAACCCTAACTATGAGCAATAGTAGTGTGATGTTCAAGATTTTGGCTCAGAAAACAAGTTCGAAACACTGTTTTCTATGGGAAAAGTGCTCTGGTTATCAAAGGTTGGGTATCAACAAGACGTTCTATGTTTCTTTATCATTCAGGACTCGCTGATAGAGGTGGACGAGAATGGAACGCTGGATTTAAGTATGAAGAAAAAGAGAGAAAAGGCGAGGGACTGTCCCGTGATGCCGGCGTTAGGAGACGGTCTTTTTATCCCACCTGAACCTTCTCTAGCCAAAGCGGCGGGTCTCCAGATCTCGCCGGCCATCTACCACGTCCTCTATGAACAGGACGCCTGGGACACGCCGCTGAACTACAGCAAAACACCTGCGCAGCAAGACAAAGAGGTGAGACAGAGGCAGATATTTACACTACCATTCAACGGTTGGGCTCGGTGAGATTTTTCTTACGGTCTCTCACGCTCACCGTAGCTGCATTTATTTGATAAAAATACAGTAGAAACAGTAAAATTGTGAAATATTTTTTACAATTTAATATAACTGTTTTCTATTTGAATATAATTTAAAATTAGTGCTGTCAAACGATTACGATTAATCGCATTCAAAATGAATGTTTTTGTTTACGTAGTAGATGTGTGTGTACTGTGTATATTTATTATGTATATATATATATAAATACACACACGTGCATGTATATATTTAAGAAAAATATGTTGTATTTGTATATTAAATACATTTATTTATAATATAAATTATATAAATATAAATATATACATGTAAATGTTTTCAAAATATATACTGTATGTGTGTATTTATATATACATAATAAATATACACAGTACACACACATATACTACATAAGCAAAAACTTTTATTTTGAATGCGATTAATCGTGATGAATTGTTTGCACAATTAAAAATGTAATTTATTCCTGTGATGCAAAGCTGAATTTTCAGCATCATTACTCCAGTCTTCAGAGAAATATCTGCTGCTCAAGAAACATTTCTTATTATTATCCATGTTGAAAACAGTGAACAAAAAAAGCTGCTTTATATTTTTGGGGAAAACCATAATACATTTCTTTTTATGAGTCTTTGATAAATCAATTATAAATTTGGAAATAGAAATCTTTTGAAACATTATAAATGTCTCTATTGTCAATTTCGATCAGTTTAATGCATCCTTGTTGAACAAAAATAATTAAAAAAAAACTATGTAGTATGCAAAACTCTTAATAAAATTGGGTGGAAAATTTATAATGTCTAATTATAATATTGTCCTGAGGAAATACATTCAGTGTCTAAATGCTCTTTGACTTTGTTGTACGCTACATTATGAACATATTCCACTTAAAGGAACACTCCACTATTTTTGAAAATAGGCTCATTTTCCAACTCCCCTAGAGTTAAAAAGTTGAGTTTTACCGTTTTCGAATCCATTCAGCCGATCTCCGGGTCTGGCGTAGCGCTTTTAGCTGTAGCTCTTATGTTTCTATTTCTTCATCTAAATTATCTGGTTCAGTCAGCCACGACCTTAGGCGCACTGTCTCTTGCGATGTGCTGCTATTACACTAAAATTGAAAAGAAAATGCAGAAGAATGTTCCTGAAAAGCCGACAATTTTTCATTCTCTTTAGAGTCAAAGAACAAACCCAGACAGTTGTATGTTTGTCTGGTTCTCCCTCTGACATCTGGTGCTCAAAGATACTTACCTTATAAAAAAAGTAAGTAAATCCAAAGGTTTTATGCCCATCATAAATACTACGAGGGATTACATTGGAGTTTAAATGGATATATGTTTTACTAAGTGTACTTAAGCAGCATCAGACCTCTCACAGACTATTAGTGCACGTGTGCTCACAGAATGCCATTTGTTTAAGTGACCGTCGTGTCTTTTCTTGGAAAATCACACAATGTTTTGACCTTCTGTCCCTTGTCTTGTAGATGGATCAGCTGGAGAAGGCGTCTCTCGAGGATAAAGCATACAATGGAGATGCAAACATGGCAAAAAACAAGATGCTCATAAGAGACAACAAGAAAGAGCTGATGAGGTAATAACATTATATGAACCGCTGTTTTGGGGTTTCTGGGTCACACGTGAGCATGATAAAGGCCCTGTTAATAATTAGAGCATGTATAGTAGATCAAGAAATCATAGGCTGTGTGCATCTGGTCATTATTCTGGTCTTTTTTTCTCTTTGCAGTTGTCCGACACCAGGTTGTGATGGTAGTGGTCATGTGACAGGAAATTATGCATCACATAGAAGGTAAAACCCTGCATGTTTTTCACCATCGTTATTTTTCAAGCAGCAAAATAACCTTGAAAAAATATACATAATATCTACATTGTTTTTGTTTTGTTTTTTCATTTTTGTAGTGTATCTGGTTGCCCGTTGGCTGACAAGACCCTGAAATCACTAATGGCTGCTAATTCGCAAGAGCTCAGGTAAGAATCAGCTAAAGTTTCAATCCAATAAAAATAAGAAATGATTTTAAAATTACATAGAATTAATGTGTAGAAATAATGTCAATTTATGTATTTTATAAATGATTATAAGTAATAACTATAATAATAATTGTACTATAATTATAAATATTTATTATTATTGTTGTTACTGTTATTATTGTCGTTATTTTTATTTATAATGCATTTTGTTTATTAAAATATTTAATAAATTATTATGACCTAAACATTTTAGTTGTATTTAATTTTTTTTTAAATATATTAAAAAAAAAAAAATTTATTTTATCATTTAAATTTGTAAATATGAATATTTATTATTTGTTTTTTATTATTATTATAGGACGCGCAACAATTATGTGCAATTTATGTCATTCCATTACTGACCTAGGGGGAAAGTGAGCAGCAAAATAAATTGGCCAAGTCCTCAGCACTCTAGTCTTCAACTTGGTAGGGCTTATGTTTTCCATCGGCGGCACGTTAACCTCCCTGCCCGTAATTATTTACTGGAGTGCGTTTCAGACGAAGTCCGCCTGTGCCGATAGAATTATTCCTTCCCTTTTTTTCTGCTTTGAATACATTTTTAATCAGCATTTCACAGGATTAATCTTCTTAATGGTATTTGAAAAGTCTTCCAACTCGGCAAATTGGGGGTGGGGGTGTTTACGGATTCGCGTAATGACTAACACGTTGCGGCGGCGGTGTGGGCCCTCGGAAGTTTTAGCCATCAAATTATCGAGCGAATGTATACGGGCTCGTTTGTGTTTACGTTGTAAGCTCTGAAACTAGTTCAGTCTCAAATAAGAGATTATCTTTGACAATCGCTGTTACTCTGTTGAGTTTAGCACAACAAAAGAGGGCTGCGCGGGGGGTTTCATTTAAGCAGGTCGAGGGGTCGGGTCACATCTGTGTGGGTTTTGGCATGGTGACCCAGAAATCTATACCAAACAACCTTTGTGATGCAGATTATGACCTAGTTCCCCGCAACTAGTATTGTTTTAGTATCGCTGATATAGTGTTATAGGGTTTTTTTTAAATTAGATTTTATTTTTACATTTTCAGTTTTTATTTAATTTTAGTTAAAGTTTTAATAATATATATATATATATATATATATATATATATACACACACACATATAACAAAAACTACTAAAAATGAGAAAAATCCACAACAAAAACACTAAAATTTCAACCAACATTAAATAAAAACTCAAAATATCACATTAAAATCACAAGGTTTTAGTGATTTTGTTTTGAGTTTTTGTCACTTTTCATAGTCATTACATACATACACATACATATGTGACCCTGGACCACAAAAGCAGTCATAAGGGTCAATTTTTTGAAATTGAGATTTATACATCATCTGAAAGCTGAATAAATAAGCTTTCCATTGATGTATGGTTTGTTAGGATATGGTTTGTTAATATTTGGCCGAGATACAACTATTTGAAAATCTGGAATCTGACGGGTGCAATAAAACAAAATATTGATAAAATCACCTTTAAAGTTGTCCAAATGAAGTTCTTAGCAATGCATATTACTAATCAAAAATTAAGTTTTGATATATTTACAGTAGGAAATTTACAAAATATCTTTATGGAACATGATCTTTAATTAATATCCTAATGATTTTTGGCATAAAAGAAAAATCGATAATTTTGACCCATACAACGAATTTTTGGCTATTGCTACAAATATACCCAAGCGACTTAAGAC